TTTTTTATTAATTAATATTAAAAATATATTAATTATACTCATATTTTAAAAATTAAAATTAAAAAATTCTTAATATTTTATGAGTTTTTAATATCTAAAAGATAATATTTTAAGTACCTCAAACCAAAAGAGACATTCTTTTATATAAAGCAGTCAACACCCAATCAATACCACCTCATTAGGCTTTAGAAGGGGATAACAATTGGATGACATCATTCTCACTAAAAGAGTTATTTTGTTGATATCGTGAAGTAGAGGGGTTGATTTGTCACAATATTATAAGTACAGGGGCTGGATTGCACCTTCTGCCCTTCAACATTAAATAACAAAGCTCCAATCTCCAGAGCAGAATCGCAGGCCTCTTTTTTTTCTTTTTATTATTATTATTATTATTTTGAATCGCATAATTGTTAGCTTATCCAGTTATTCTACTTTTAAAAAAAATGGAGATTTTCATAAAATCTGGGTTCTTAATTCTAAGTTTTCCCCTTGTTTATCTTTTTTTAGTATATAAAAAATAAGATATTCCAACATTAAAATTATCAAAATGTTTAATCATAATTATAATTTAAGTGAGATATAACCATCATTTAAGTAAAACGCACTTAAATTATGATTATAATTGGATGTCTTGATAATTTTAATGTCAGTATGTCTTAATTTTTACTTTTTTATATCTTTGTTAAAATGCATTTTTTATACTTTTAATGATGAATTATATAATAAAAAATAACTTTAAAAAAATTCACCTATTTCTAAATTTAAAATTTAAATTTTAAATTTTAAATTTTAAATATAAAAACTCAAAATTTTAATTATTGATTTGTTTCTATGAAACTTTTTTAAATTGTTTTTTTGTTCAGTGCAACTGAGAGATTGCTATGTTGAACAAGGAAAGCATAAAACGATTTTTTTAAATTAAAATTTGGGAATATTATTATTCTCACCAACAAAATAACTTGTACCCAAGGCTTACCAAAAAAAAGATAATAACTTGTACCCAAAGATTTGATAATGGCACTGCTGTCCCACTAATAATTTTCAGGTCATATCAAGCATATTTTATTTGCTAAGCTTCATTGAATAATTGCTAAAAAACAGGTTTAATTTGCTAAGAGTTTGCATAAGACTCAACACATATAGAAACTGTTTGGCATAGGTTTTTCCGGGAGTTGCTTATGAGAAAATTGAAGTAGCTTTCAACAATACTGAAGTATGTGATTCAAGTGCATGACATTGTTCTTTTAGATTATGTGTTGTACTGCTGCAATTCAAGAGCTGATAAGGGTCCCAATCTGTTCCAACCACAAACCCCGCATTGGATCACCCACTTGCACTAGTGATCACTTTTTAAACAAATCCTACCTACTTTGTACGTGGAGCAAAACACTAAAACATGGATACTAGCTAATTAATTGTTTTGTTCATAAGTATTGGGTAAAATCAACTTTTTAAGGATGGCGAGCTTAATTTATTAAAATTGTTTAAGCCCAAATAGTGTTGGAGGAATTCAAATTTAAAATTCACATTTTCAATATGATTAAAATGATTTCTTAACTACTTGAACTAATCTCAATGTGTTAATGTTAAATATTTTTTCTCTGTCTATGTAAGTAATTCCACTAGGATTTTATCCATGAGTGCTGACATGGCACTCCCTATTATGTGATTAACAAGTTTCCAGTGATCCTTTACTTCTATAATCAAAAACATTTGTTCCTCATTTATGATGATTGTAATCTTATCACTAATCAATGTACCACAATTTTGCAAAAAAAAAAAAAAAAAGGATAGTTTTGAGATGCTTAAAGATTAATTCAGAAACATTCTAATTGTAAATATATATATATATATATATATCACAATTTCAACGCCAATAATGGCATGGTAATGTATCATTTAATCTCAATAGTAATATTGGAACTAATACACACAATTTTATATCATAATTTAGTTTTACATTAATTACATGACATCAATTGGTGAATGCAAACAAATTTATGTGTCACAATCAATAAACAAATAAAAGAAAAAAGAGACAGTTATAACTACAATAGGTTAAGAAAACTAACAGGGCAATGCAAATAGGGTACCCAAAAAAAAAAAAAATCCTTGAAAGAAAACACTATACCATTATCACTACAAGAAAAATGATTTATAACTACAATAGGTTAAGAAAACTAACAGGGCAATGCAAATAGGGTACCCAAAAAAAAAAAAAATCCTTGAAAGAAAACACTATACCATTATTCTGAGATCCAAATCAACACATAACAGAATCTTCGTATATAGCCTTTGAGGGAAAGAAAAATCTCTGATTTACATTAAATAAAAGGTCATAAATATAATCTAGCATATTGTTTGAACAATTTAAATTAGAATTGCCATAATTATGCAGTGATTATAGAATCAATAAATCACTAATGAAATTGATTCCTAAATATCTTGACACAATGACTGAATGTTCAAAGAAAATGGTGTAGTGGAGATGCTAGCTTCAGGCTTTGAATTTGACATTGCACATTTGCACTTCTAGACATTTTCTATATAAGCTGGGAAAACTTCCTGAATTGGAACACACAGAGGAAGCAAAAGGACTTAAAGATGACCACCTCAAGCAGGCAGAAGCACAACTTTTGCCCCACATTCTTCATGTTACTATCGTTACTCCTACAATTCTATTCTGGTTTGATTCCACATACATCTTTAGTTTGTTTATTTATTTATTTTTTCAGTTAAGGTTCTTAAGAAAAAGTCTTAGACCCAGTTTGGTGTAACGGTTTTGGAGTAGTGGTTAACGGTTTTACCTAAATTGCTAAATATAGGTGTTTGTTAAATTTATATATTTCGAAACCGCTATAAATAAAGTGTTTGGTAAAATTTTTATTTAGCGGTTTGAAACTAACGGATAGCAATTATAGTCCAAACCGCTAGCGGATTGAAAAAGTAATTTATGTAACTTTTTGTACCAAATCGCTAATGGATTAAAATTTTTTAATTTTATTTACAAATTTATCCTTTTTAATTTTTTAATTTGTGGTCACATTTTTTAATTAATAATTATCTAATAAATTTCAATTTTGTTTTTTTACCTTTAATAACATT